GCAATACAAGTGCAGAATCATGCATTTTCAGCCCCATGGCCTTTTCAATGGGAATTCTTGAAAACAGACGTAGACTCACACAAGCGTTCCCATTATCCCATTATAAAACCTCACACTGTTACCTCAAAAGAAGCTTGTGCACTTTTTTTATCGATCTTCATGAACCCATTGAGAAAAATTAGATTCTTCAGCATTGTCGCTCTTCAGGAATTGCTCCAGAAAACACTCAGGAGTGAATGGGGCCTAATGGAACAGGTAGTGTTGGAAATTGTCATTTATGATGCAGTTCACTTTGACATTTGAAGTCATAGAAGGTTTCTGTGCCACTGAACTATTGATCTCATTCTCAGAGGTCACTTCTCTCACTTCATTCATCTCATTCCAAATGATTGTTTGTTGTGGGTGGCTGCACATTCCACCATTGCTCTCTGCCCTTACAATGAATATGGGTTCTGACCCCATTTTCCTGATTGTGTACTGGATTCAGTTGGCATGGCTGCACTTCCGCAACAAAGTGTTAAAGGCTTATGAAGCATCCGGTCATGTCATCTGAAGAGAAAACCATGTCATATGTTCATGTAGCATCCAGTCATGTCAACTGAAGAGAAAACCATGTCATATCTTCATGTAGCATTCAATCATGTCAACTAATGAGAAAACCATGTCATATCTTCATGTAGCATCCAGTCATGTCACCTGAAGAGAAAACCATGTCATATCTTCATGTAGCATTCAATCATGTCAACTAATGAGAAAACCATGTCATATCTTCATGTAGCATCCAGTCATGCCACCTGAAGAGAAATTCATGTCATATCTTCATGTAGCATCCAGTCATGTAACCTGAAGAGAAAACTGTGTCAAATGTTCATGTAACATCCGTCATGTCACCAGTAGAGAAAACAATTTCAAATGTTCAGCTAGCAGCCTGTAATGTCACCTGAAGAAAAAAATGTCACATGTTAATGTAGCATCCATCATGTCATCTGAAAAGGAAACCGTGTCAAATGTCCTTGTAGCATCCAGTCATGTCACCTGAAGAGAAAATCATCTTAATTAGAGTCCAGCTGGATTCACAAGGCCAAAGTATTGCCTTAGCAGACAGTGATAACGTCACATCTCTAGTGCCTGTCTACTGATCTATTTAGTGACAGTACAAGACTCACTATTGTGACCAGGTATATATTAAACTAAATACATGATAGAACAAACCAATGTAAATGTCTGTTAAAGGAGAACTATGGGGTCAGTGTTTTTCCCCATAGTTCTCCTTAGGGTAACGGGAGGACACAAACTAGCGTCCTCCCGTTACCCTAAGCTCAGTATACCGCGAGCTTCAGCTCGCGGTATACTGAGACGCCGCAGCCGGAGCGGATCCCGGCGTAGATGACGGGATCCGCCCAGCTGCGTGAGTGACAGCTGGCTCTGCCTATCTAGAGGCAGAGCAAGCTGTACCCGCCCCCTCCCCCGTCCGTTCCGCCAACCAGCGCTGGCAGATCGGAGCAGGGAGAGGGGAATCCAGCCCCTCCCCCTGTCACGGCAGAGAGCTGTGACAGGATCTAGAGGTGAGCGAACCTGGTATGTGTTCGCTCACCTCCCAATCTACTGAGCCGACCTGTGACAGTCTCATTGTCACAGGTCGTCTAGAACTATGAGGTGAGTGGAAATCACTCATCTCATAGTTCTCCTTTAATGACTCAGGATGGTCATTGTTCATTTTACCGTAACATGAAAAAGTAAATCTGCCTTTTGGATATAGATGTATTACTGTCACAGTAATTATTACACATGATCTGACAAGCATAATAAAAGTTTACTGCTATTTCTTTGACAGGGGGACCCTATTCCAGAAGAAATGTATGAGAAAATTGCAGCAGGATCTGTCAAGTCCATAAACGATATACGAAGACTGCTGCAAATAGATTCCGTAGGTAAATCTCTACACAACTGTCTTTTTTTTTATCTGATCATTTTGAAGATGGTGATGTACAGATAAAGTTTTGGCCTGATGATTACAATCTTTACATTCAGGTGTAACAAACTAAATCATTACTCAGTGAGTCAGCTTGCTGGAAATGTTCTGTTTAGAATTCTGTGTGTGCAACGATTTTATGCTTAAAGGCAAATCGACTGTTGATGAACCCCCCCCCCCCACAGTGGTCAAAAGCTTTAATCAACAAAATGCCATATTTTTTCAACATTATATTATGTCATTTCAGTATAACCTTCCCTTCTCTTTACTATTCTATATGTATTTTATGTGTCACACATTAATTTTGTGACTCCAAATTATATGATGTTGCTGCTGGGATGCAGTAATATCCAGTGCATTTATATATAGATAGATACTTCACCGCAGCCTAGAGGTTTGAGTTTTGTACACGGGGCTGACCCTTGTGTGCAGGGAGTCCAGCCAGAAGCAAAGTGTTTGGTGTATATCAGAGTTTGCTATGCTGCACTGCGACCTCCCTCTCTGCTATTGTCTATGTACGTACGTCAGACCCCTACACTCGGCTATCTGTGTCTGGACACAACTTCCCCTCTTTGTCTGCTGTACAAGTCTCCATCTCTGGCTTGTGCTTGAAAAGAATTCCTTGCGCCCCCCCTTTCCACTACCCGCCCTCTCGCTTGCAGACTTCATCCAGCTGCAGCAGCTGTGTGTGCTATTAATACTTACAGGGTACATACAGAAGTGCTAAACCATGGCCATGCCAATGGGAATCTGGCATTAAAATATTAGGGATGCAGCAGGGGAGGATTCTACAATTAGTTGCCCTTTTCTGGTTTAAAAACGGTATGCCTTTCCCACGATGTGCGTGTACATGTGAGTATGTGTGTGTGTGTGTGTGGAATATATATAGATATATATCTATCTATATAGATATAGATATATATCTATATATAGATATATATCTATATATATATTATGAATCTGAGTAATTTCAGGTTTGAAACTGGCAGACGTGCGGTTTGTTTTTAACCCTCCCTGTTAATTATGTTGAAACAATTGACGAAAGGCTTTGTTGATATCTGTACTATGCACGCTTCCCTGGTATGAAATTATCTTCCTGCAAACCAATGAGCGGTCTCTTAATTATCTTCTTTCTTTATAAACAAATTATTATTTTTACATTTTGGATGGGAGTGAACAATACTGTAAAAGCGCATGCTTCAACAGAAACAAATTCATGCGTTATCCTGTTTAAAATGATCTTAAAGTGAAGGTCTGCCGGTAGAAGTAACAATTATCACATAAAATATTCCCTATTTTAAAACACATGACAGGTTTACTTTAAGGGTCATTCCCTAAGATACATACACGTCACTAACATGTATTGTGACGTGTAAGTATCTTAGGGAATGACCCTTAAAATAAACCTGTCATGAAAACAATACAGAGGCTGATCTCCTATTGATAATCTTGACTGGCTATCAGGCTTTTAAGCAAGGGTCAGCAATGGCAACCTCTATCAGGTTTTGTTTAAAGGGATTTTTTTTTTTTAACTTGTAGATATATGCAATTGTCTCTCAAACCTCTTAAACAGCCTTCTACAACCTTTTTTTACTATAGTGGGACCTTCAACTAAAAATTAGCTCACAGCACATTAGCATTATCAGTATGTTGTAGATCTTTACATTGGTGGTAAGTGGAGATGGAACCATTTGCTTTGGTGCTTAGTGTAGAATGAACCCTTTAGATTGGTGTTTAGAGGAGAAGGAACTATTTACATAGGTTTTCTGTGAAAACATGTCCCTTACCTGGATGGTCGGTATAGTGCCTCCTTATGTTGATGGTCAGTGAGAAGAATGCACCTTACACTGGTAGTCAGTGTAGTGCCCCCTTACATTGATGGTCAGTATGGACCACGGAACCCTGGTTGAGAAAGACTGCCCTTGAACTTTTTAAGATGACAGTCCCATTTAGTACAGGATGCAGGTATTTTTTCTATCAGTAAGACCCACCCTCCCATGTACCAATGTATAGGGCAATAAAGTTTATACTTGTCAATATTAATTTGCAAATGAACATAAAATCCTAAATATATATATATATATATATTAGGCATTTTTTTCAGTTGGGGGTCAGAGCCCCAAAACTACCTGTTCTTTATAATGAACACTTACTCCCTGTTGCTGTATTTCTGAACATACAGTATTATTAGTTGTATAATATATGAAATCCAAGCATGTAAAAACAGCATAACAAGACATCATACAAAAGAATTCTTGCATTGATTGTTACAAACTGAAAACTCACCCATAGGTTTAAAATTTCACCCCAGCTTGTGAGCTAAGCAGATGAATGCTTGGCTATTTTACAGTTTCCATAGTAGATATGAGAGTAGAATCAAAATTAGGGAGATAAAATGGCCTTTCTACAGGGCCCAGTCACACCTGTTCCGTTGTGTTGCGATCCGTTTTTCAATAGATGCTAACAGAAGGGCACCAAAAAATGAATGGGTGTGAATAGGACTAGTACACACCGCTCCGTTGCATTATGTTACGCTGTGCTGAAAAAAAAAGTAGAACATGCATTACATTTTTCAGCGCAGCTTAAAGGAGATCTATGGGGTTAAGGCTTTTCCCCATAGTTCTCCTTAGGGTAACGGGAGGACACAAACTAGCGTCCTCCCATCACCCTAAGCTCAGTATACCGCGAGCTGCAGCTCACGGTATACTGAGACACCACAGTAGACCATGAGCTACTGCTTGCGGTATACGCCGCAGCTGAAGCGGATCCCGACAATTATGCCGGGATCCGCCCAGCTGCTTGAGTGACAGCTGGCTCTGCCTATCTAGAGGCAGAGCCAGCTGTACCCGCCCCCTCCCCCGTCCGATCCACCAGTTAGCGAATTTGGTCTGAATGCAAACAGTTCATTCAATACAGTCAATGAGCTATAAATGTTGCTGTCAGCAGTGTGCTAAAATCAACTAATTGTAGTTATGTTTTCATTATCATATGAGAAAGAAAGAAATAACTAATGACAAGCAACTTTATCAAAGCTGAAAGGCACTTTATTTTTTAATAACATTTTTTAAAATTTACCTTTTCAAATTCTATTTTGACCTAAATTATTTTGGACTTGCATTCGAGAGTAATCTCTTATAAGAAGCAGCTCAAACGCTCCCTTAAACCTAACCAAATGCGCTCGACATGGACTTTCAACTCGTTTACGAAGTAGGTGGAGGCTTTGGGTGCTTACAGTGATCTTTAGAAACTGCAGTTTGTTGTTAGAATGTCTGCTAGAAGCCTCATTCATTTCTAGAAATGGTCATTTCATGATTTGTGACATACACAATGCAGTGTCATTAATAAGCCTGGGGACAGTCAGACCCCAGCTTCTCCTGGCCTATTCACTGTTTGTCCTTGGTGTGTTCTCATACAGACAGGGTGTGGTGAATGACTGTTTTGGAAACACAACTTGCTGAGGGTTACCATAAAATCTAAATAATAGCTATTGTCTTCTTTTATTCCTTTCCCAGAATAAAATATATTTTTCATTTCAAAGCACTTGATTCATAAATATTAACACTAAACTATGTTGCCTTTGTAATGTTCATATACATGTTACTGTCCATTTTATTATGCAGTATAATGGCATTTATCAGCCATCTCACTAGAGTAGTGCTCGAGGCCAGTAAGCAATAGCCAGGTGTGATGATATACAAACCGCTGTTATCTCTTTTATAAAAATCCTATCTTGTAATATGCTTAATAGAAAATAATTAACCTGATGTTCAAACAATAAAATGCTTTACCTACAGCTTAAAACTTCACCTGATGCCTTCTGGTGCCTGAAAGTACCTATGTTTATCTTCAAATCACTCCCTTTGTGTCTGTGGAGGACTCTGGAAATCCTGTCTAATTAGAAGAAACCTATACTAGGGAAATATATATATATATATGTGTGTGTGTGTGTGTGTGTGTGTGTGTAACAACACTTTGTAGAAAGGTGTTCACCGATTGTGATGTACCACACCCTCATATCAAGAATATACCACAAATAACAATTATAGGGCTTTTTAGGTGCACACAATCAAACAAATTACATCTCACAAATTAGTAAATATATAAAATATTTTACCTTTTTTTAAATTCTGTTCATTAAAAACAAATGTATCACAACATGTAAATACTACAGTTAAAATAACAAAACCAGTGAATGCCCACTATGAGTAGTAACATGCCTCTGGGAAGACGCCAATTAGTTATTTACAGCCATAAACGCTTATGATAATTTTAAAAACGGTATGCATAAAGATGGCTTCATTAAATATGAGGATAGTGCTTTCAGGATGGCGTCCTCCAAATTACTCAACACGTTTCACCCCACATAGATAAGGGACTTCTTCAGGAGTTGGGCAGTTCGCTCAGAAGTTAGACACTGCATATATCACCTCCAACACTCCGCTTGGGGCAACGGACCTGTTCCCCCCACACCAACCTTGCCTGGCTTGCATCTGCAGTATATATCAATGAGATCATTGGAGGCTGAGGTTTCTTAACTGTGGCTCCTGGAGGTCTCTGGGCCTTTGTGTCTCTTCTTGGCCCACCAAAAAGCGCAGATAACCTGCACAGGTCTGTTGCCCCAAGCGGAGTGTTGGAGGTGTATAACCAGGGCCGTCTTTAACGCAGGGCAAAGGGGGCACTTGCCCCGGGCCCTGTCATGGTTGTGGGGCCCAAAGCAGCTGCCCCTTGAGCCCGCTGCCCGCCGCGGTCGTACCGTAGAATCAGCACAGGAAAAAAAACCCCTTCATGCACGTGGGCAGGAAGGTACCAAAATATCACATTAGATGGGGGGGTTGGGACGTACCAACTGTTCTGTACGGAACAGTTGGTACGTCCCAAACCCCCCATCCAATGTAATAGGGACTCGACGGTGAGGTAGGGAGCCTTTGCAGAGGACAGCACTTCAGTGTCGGGCCCCTA